AGGTTTATTTTTTAGCACCTGACAGCTCTTTTTTGCTTCTCATCCGTAAACACTCTGCATACTCTTTCACGTGATTCAGTTTATTTTTAAAAGTCTCAATAGGATCTGTGGAAAATAAACAAGGTTTTACCGTCGTTGTTGCTAACGACAATGCATAAAAACAGGCGCTTTTCCGTCCGTAGTGTGGTTATATTAAATATAAGAGAAAGAGAGAACTGTAAGAAATGCATATAGCCACTACAGTGACCATCAAAACGATACAAACGATATCGTAAAATGAAACGATAGATGTTTTTATATCGTCATCCGATGTATATCGTTATATCAAACAGACGCCTGAAGCGTCTGTCGTGGTGAATTTACGGTGTCGTCTCCTCTGCTCTTTGCAGCCACCGTCAGGCCCAAGGATGCTGTCGCTCACAACCAGCTGGCAGCGTTTGGGGAGTATGTGGCAGAGATGATGCCCAAATATATTCAGCAGGTCCAGGTCAGTTCATATTCACATCACAGTGGGAGCACGTACACTCTTCTGTTGCAAATCCTGCTGCTGACCGAGACAGCACATTGGTTTTTCACAGTTACTTTGAAAAGCCATCAATATGTTGGTGCCGTTACTAATCAAGACCTGATTAAATATTTTAAAACTGTAATTAGACTTATTATGTTTGGATTTACTCTGAGTTGAATAAGGAAGAGAATGGATGAATGCATGTTTAGATTCAGAAACCTGCAGCAGGGCCTAAAAGACTGTTCATGTGTGTAGGTGACCTGCTACAACGAGCTGGAGGTGATGATCCATCCTGATGGAGTCATCCCTGTGCTGACCTTCCTGAGAGACCACACCAATGCTCAGTTCAGGAACATGACTGACCTGACTGCTGTTGACATCCCGACACGGCAGAACCGTTTTGAGGTACAGAGATAAACTGGAACTGACTGAGCTGTGAGCTGCCTGAGGTTATAGCTAAGAGAGGCAAGGATTTAAGCATCCTATCTGCAGGTGCATGCCTGTGTAGCCATGGTAACAAGAAAGTAGAACTCTCAGTGCAGGTGAACAACAACATATAACATGTTACATGGTGTCATTATTTGTTTAACAAAAATGTAGCCAAAATTTGGAAGCAGTGTGTGAAAGACCAAGTCTACAATTAATGCTTTGATAGGAATTATGAGGGAAAGTAGAGCCTGGTGCTGGTAATCAATGCATTTGATTAACCCTTTAAAGCCGGTCGGCGCGGGCACGCTCTGTTTTGCATAACTATTTTTAAATCCCCGTAGAACTGCAACCACGTAAGCCAGCACAATAATGTTTTCTGCATATGAAACCAGAGGAGTTGTACTTACATCTCATGCCATCAGCTTGTTCTCGGTCACGGTTTTCTTCCACATATAGCTTTGCAAAAATTGCATAAAAAGCGCTTGCAGGAACAAAAACATAATATCCCAGAAACACGCTTTGCCGATCCGATCAGCTGTTCATAACACTTCCTACATTGAAATAGACGTCAGCGCGACCTATCGCATGTCCGCCATTACCTGCCCGTAACCGGAAGTGACATCATTTTTGCGGAAAATTTAGTTTTTTACTTGTAGGCCTTAAAAGCCTATACTGGTGTTTTTAAAAGTCATGTTTGACTTTATACTTTTCTGAATAGTTTCTGGGATGCTTAGAACTCAAATTGCACTGCTGGAAATAGTTTATTTTGATGCACATGCTGTTTGCAAATGTGCATTGTAGGATTGTTTTTTTCGTTTTTTCTGCAGTTTATAAAAATTGGTGTATCTGAAAAATAAAACTAAGAAGACACTCAAAATAAATTTTCTGTTGTTGAAAACTAATTTTGCAACGTTTTTGTATTTAAAGTTTTGAGGGATAAACCTCTTAAATTTCTCTAAGTAGAAATATATGTAAAAAACACAAAAACGATTATCTATTTTTTTGTAGTTTATTGCAATTTTTTAAAAATAAACTATTATGTAGTTACTATGGACTTAATGCATACATATTATTACAGTCTGGGTTATAACAGTTGTATTGATGTATAGCAACTTGAAATGCTCCCAAAAATGGCTCCACAGCATGTAAAAAAATATAAAGTAAGCTCTGGCGGATTTGGTGCTATGGTAGGTCTTAAAGGGTTAATTGATCATCAGCACGGCCAGCCAAGGAGGAAAGATAAGCGCTGATAAAGAAGCAATTATTTATGCTCATCAGTCCATTATTCTCCAATGAGAAAGAAAGAAGAATTATAAAAAAGTGGAAAGCATTCAAGACAGACAAATGTACCTCAAGGTCAGAACAGGCAACGCTCCGGGAATCTGGAATAAACCCAAACACTGCATCTCAAAGTGTGCAGGGCTCAGTTAGCATGTTCAATGATAAACCTGATGACAGCCTGGAGATTTCTGCAATGTTGCGGCTCATTTATCAACCGAGCGTCTGCACCAATCTGTGCTTCAAGACGTTTCACAGCAGCGTCTGTGATTTATCAACATTTGTTCCTGAATTAGTTTATACTTCTTTAACAAATGGAGTAGTCCCTCTGACTGTGCATCATAGAGCCTGTCTGCATTAGGACATTTTACCATAAACCTTTAAAAATACTTCTGCCACCACTTTCAATAATAATTGTATTTAATATTGTGTTTTGGTCATTTTGTACAGTTTTCCAAAGCACCAAAAACCACATATAATATAATATAATATAATATAATACAATTTTTCAGTTTAATATTAAATGCTCAGGCTCTAACCTTCATCCAGCAAACCATTTTCTTCCACTTATCTGGAGCTGGGTCGCAGGAAGGCCAGGGCCTGTTTGGACCTTGAGTCATTTAGGGGCATCGCTCTGCATACTGAGGGGGGGGTTCTAAGTCAAATATGAGGCCATCTCTCTGAGAGCTAAAGCCTGGTGACATTAGGTCATGTAACAGGATCACAGCAAACCAACCGATCTGTAACAGAAGAGCTGAAAAGAATCATGTCAAAGTCCAGACTCGGTCCAAGAGAAGGGCTGTGGTGGGACGTTAGGTAGTCTAATTTATGCATTGATTGTGTACTATAGTACTCTGACTCACTGTGTGCTACAGATTGTGTACAACTTGCTGTCGCTGCGTTACAACTCCCGTATCCGCGTCAAGACCTACACCGATGAGTTAACACCGGTTGACTCCGCTGTCCCCGTCCACATGGCCGCCAACTGGTACGAGAGGGAGGTGAGTTGCCCGCTGCACTTGTGAAACTCAGCAGTGGTTTATACTAACATTACAGACAAACTGAGAGCAAAGCTGTATTACCACAGGTGTGGGACATGTTTGGAGTTTTCTTTGCCAACCATCCCGACCTGAGGCGGATCCTGACAGACTATGGCTTCGAGGGTCACCCCTTCAGGAAGGACTTCCCTCTGTCGGGATATGTGGAGGTGAGTTTACTTTGAGTCCACTTTATTCAACTCCAGCAATGTGAGAGACGGGAAGGAATCTGACCCGAAGCATGCCTCCCTCTGCAGGTTCGTTATGACGATGAGTTGAAACGTGTGGTGGCGGAGCCTGTGGAGCTGGCGCAGGAGTTTAGGAAGTTTGATTTAAACACGCCCTGGGAGGTGTTCCCCGCCTACCGAGATCCCAAAGAGGATGCACCCAAGCTGGAGGCTGGTGAAAAGGCCCCTGAGAAGAAGTGACGTCCTCTTGTTTAGCCTCCACATCTTCATCACCATGTTTTGTTTTTGTGTTATTCTGGGAGTCCAACCCCCCAACAATCCTGATATTTATGTAAATAAAGATACTAGTAAAACATCTGGAATATTGTGGCTTTTTTTCTTCCAGTTGATGCAAAAAGTACCTGAAAGGGTTTGACAGAGGGGTACAGACATGTCACTTTCACCATAAACTGGGAAAATGTTTTTAAAAGTAAACCCAATAATGCACAAAGCCTTATTTTGTTTAATTTTTCAAAGTAAGTGCTTAAAGAATTTACATTCATGTTGGAATCATGAGCAGCAGAATATCGTCCTGGGGGAATTCAAACAAAAAGTAGGAAAAAAACTAAAATTTTGGCACCTCAGTTGCTGACCTCAACTTCTGTGTTTTTTCACTAGTTTTGCATCTAATTGGGCTCAGTGTCACTACTGGTCACATGACAAGATAACTGGACCCTGCAGAGGTTATGCAGGCAGTCCAACTCCTCCACCTAACACTGTTGAGGAGCTCAGCAATGCCCTGGCTCCGGTCTGGGAGGAATCACTCCATCGGTTGTCTCATTAGGAACATGTCCCAACATTGTCAGGAATGCATGCAACCACATGGGGGCCATACAAACTACTGACACTATTTGAGTTTCAGAATTGTTCTTTTGGCAAAATGAGCTAACGTGCTGCATTTCCTTCCCTTTGATTTTCAGAGTTTTCTTAAATTTAGCCCTGGGTAGGTAGAAAATGCTCATTTCTAACAAATGACGCAGCATCCTTTTTTTCCCGATGTGTTCCTGACACGAGGGCATCCAGCATCAAATCTGTGCTGAATAAGGGGGAATAAGGGACCAACCCGAGGTAACTAAACTGGGGGACGCTGTGTATTTCTTTATTATGGGCCCCAAATAAACTGTTCCTACCGAGGCAGCAGCTTTAGCAAGTTGATAAAAGAGAAAACTAACAAACTTTGAGTGAGTGAAAAAGTCTGTGTGGTTGGTCAAAGTTGTCTTCAAATATTTACCGAGGCTAGGATGTTTATGTGACTGTGATTATAGTTTTTACATTGCAGTGTCTGTTATGAACTTCATAAACCCCCCCCCCCACAACACACACAAACACACAACCGAAAAATTGAAACCAGAAGTTTTAAACTATGACTAAAGTGAAAGCCAATCATGAAACAAACTTTTTGTCTGTGACCACTGAAGTCTTTTCAAATGTCAAACACTAAATTTAGCCAGCAGGTGGCGCTGCGGCACTGAATAATATAAAGCTGGAATGTCTTTCATCGCAGTCAGAATGACACTCAAACCTTTGTTTATTTTTTATTTTGTCAAACATCTTCATTGAAGCATTCATTTTACAAATAAGAAATACTCGAAACACTTTAAAGAGTCAATGTGAGGCAGACTACTGCAGACAGGCTGTGGGTCAAACTGAGCCCTCTTTCCCCATAAGCAGGGTCACAGTCACAGTTTCAGTTTCAATCATGCCGAGTAAAATGATGCTGTTCCAGAAAGCGAGCACATTTCGACCCATGTCTGTGCTACATATTTACTAATACACAGTCTTCCATTGGGGATTATCAGAAACAGAGAAGCACAGACCCGAAACATCCAACATATCGTCAGTTACTATACAGATAAGTCACTAATCAAGAAAAGTACACAGCAGGCATCGAGTGGGTCTGTGAAGCTGCTCTGCAATCGTGACAAAGTATCTTTTTCATGTATTTCACTTAAATGCATGCATCACACGAGTTTGGTGCAGGATTTCTGGACACCTTTGCAGACTGGTCATGGTTCTGAAAGCAGAACTGAGGCGTTCCACCTGTGTGCACTCCTCCTCACTGAGTGTTAGACTGTGACAGAATATATCTGCAATGAGCCACGCTCACAGTGTTATTTCATACTGTTAAAAAAAAAGGCATATTTTTCTGAATTTCTCAGAAGTGAGTGCAGCCCGTAAAGGACAGGAAATTGTGGATTAGTGAGACTGTGAGTGGAGCCACCTGAAGCCGGAGACCAGCTGGTGCAAAATCATTTCTCCTGCGCCCAAAAAATGTGACAATGAAGCAAAGACGTTTCTTTTTACTTTCCACTAGTCTAACGCTGTTGTTTAGGAACATTTTCAGGTTTATCTCTTCAGGTTTTCATAATTTTAAAGCCCAGTTTTCCACACCTTGGTCCATTTGATGTAACTTCCTGCTGCTGCACACTCTCATTTCCGTCTCCTCCTTTGCCACGGTGTGTGTGGTTAGAAATTTCTGCTCTTAATATTAGCAACTAATCACATTACTGCCAGATGAGGGATAGTCAGATTTCAGGGATACATGAAGGGTTGCATGCTTCTTATAATGCAGCTTGTATTTTTTCCTAATCAGTCCAAATGACTTTGCACCAGCCCACTGTTTATGTTTCCTTCCAATGAATCTTTCACCATTGCGGCGCTCCAAGGGTCGGTAAAACTGGCAGGACCGCAGCGTGGTTAACGGGCATCTAGTTTATTAATAGCGTGGCTGTTTGGATTATTTTAGGAGTTACGTGTATTGGCTGCAACATTCATTGCCATTCAGCCTGCCAACTGAAGCGTGGCTACCCACGCGATGATTACCCCTGCTGTGGTGCTTCAGTCTGAATGCACTTCACTGGAGCAAGAGGAAGTGTTTATACACAAGTTTCCTGGGCTAATTAATTGAGATTTTTCTGTGTGGCTCAGAATCGGCAGTTGTCCGAGATCTCTGATTCGCTGGTTATGATGTGGACATCATAGCTTATGTCTTATTTAAGTGTGAACTTCTCCACCCACAGCTTTACAAGAGGAAAATTATATCTTGAGGGATCTGATAAAAGCTAAAAGAAAGCAAAGTCAAGGCCTCTGGTATTTAATGTGAAATGTTTTGTTAATGGCCTTTTTAACTTTTGATACTAATAACAGATTTTGTTGCTAGGGGACAAAACCTTTCTATCTTTTTTCTTCACGTTTAATTTGTTGACTCCTCTAACAATTAAAAAAAATATGTTTTCTTGAATTTAGAGAGAATATTTGGCTTGATTTGAAAGATTCTGCTTATCCAAATAATAAAAGAGGGATTTTGGAAGTGATTGGACTGTAGTGTCTGGTTGGACACAAAAGCAGCTGTACCTGCAGCAGACGTACATGAACACCACCACTGCTCAGGTGGAGCAACACTTCTCTCCACCTGATGAATGCCAGTCAGTCTCTATTTCCTCTATTGAGGAAACTGTGTTGGGTTAAATGCACACGAGCACAGACTCAGTCGTTTGCTGTGAGAGTGAGCTGTTAAACAAAATGGGATAATAATTCAGTGTGTGTTTGACACTGGGCAACCTTTTATAATTGCACAGCCATTTATGCCATCAGTACCACCAAAATACTGATTAATGAAACTAATGTTGATTTGTTATTTTAGTCTTCAGGAAGCAAGTTTGCATTTTTTATACACTGGTGTGTTTAGATCAGGGGTGTCCACCTCCAGGCCTCGAGGGCAGGTGTCCTGGATGTTTTCGATGTGTCCTTGATCCAACACAGCTGATTCAAATGGCTAAATGACCTCCTCAACATGTCCTGAAGTTCTCCAGAGGCCTGGGAATGAACTAATCATGTGATTCAGGTGTACTGACCCGAGTGAGATCTAAATCCTGCAGGCCTCGAGGCCTGGAGGTGGACACCCCTGGTTTAGATCGTTGGTTATATGAGAACCTCATTCCTGTGAATTTATAGCCAGTTAACTGTAATAAAAATGTAAATGTTCATTAAAGTGAAGTATGATTTCACATGTTGCCTTTCCAACAGAGAAGGTGATTTCATAAAGTCAAGGTTCATCACAACTTGAACAGCATCATCGTTTCCCCTGCGGCGTGAAATTAAACAGACATGCATATTATAGCTGCCGGGAGAAGCAATTACATTTTCCCCACAGTGGTTCTGAAGACATGAATTAAGTGCCGCTAGAATTAGAAATCAAATTAAGGTCCAGATCCCTGCAGGCTCAGAGGTGGCATGTGGTCAACAGTCGGATGGATATGGAGTCTGCACATTTCTACAGCTACGTCAGTTTGTTCCCGTCGCGCTCTGCTCCTCCTGCGGCTGATATTTGGGTGAGAAACACCAAACTTTTATTAAAAAAAAAGACTAATTTTGACACAAAACACACAAATTTCATATCAATTTACATGCCTCTATAGACAAAGAAAGTAAAGACACTTTACGAGCAGAAACACCTTGGACGAGGGTAACAAATGCACTTGGAGGAATATTTTGCTCAAAAAAAATGAAAAATTCAGTGATTATCTACCACAGCTTTATGTCTACAGCTCAGACTGAAGTGTGCATGCAGTTTGAATTTTCATTTTGCTCAATGTAATGGAAGTAAGTACATTGTTTTGCAGTTTAACCCTTCCTTTATAATTCTGCAGTACATTACACAGGACGTTTACTGCACATTTATCAAAACATGCTTATAAGTTTCTCTTCAGAGCAAGATCTTATGTTCAAAATGCAATCAAATATAAAGACTTTACAAGGACGATGTACTGTGGTACGCACTGGCCAACTGTCAACATTAAATAATCATATAACACTTTAACTAAAGTCGCCTCATTTAATCACTTAATCTAGCAATGTAGTTAGCAAGTAACATATGTTTATTTGTCAACAACTTAAAGTCATCAAGCGGCAACGAGCAGCAGCCTCGTCTAAAAAAGAAGCTAACAAAGACAAATCTATGAGCCACTTGGGCCTGACAATGGAAACAAGTCAGTTTCAGTGCAGCAGAAATACGCAGGTGTAGAGTTAGGTTCCGTTTTTTATCTTTGTCTTTATAGCGAGAAGTCAAACTGTCTTTTGGGGCATTTTCATTGCTGCTGTCTAAAAAATAACTTGCTGTGTTTATTGCACCGCCTTGGATTCAGTGTTTGTGAGTGACTTTCTAACAGCTGGCATTAATTATCAGATATCTGTGACCGCACATGCAGCTCGCTAACCTATCTTTGTTGCCTAACTTAGAAGTTAGCTTGCTAGCATTCCACCTTAGCAGTCCACCATCTTGTCCCAATATCCATCCAATCATATAATAATCATTAAGAGTATATGACAGAGCATTTCTGAATCCCACTCTGTTTTTGAGCTGTATAAAAGACATGGACGCTAACTGATGAGCTAACACAGGAGTGAGTGGGTGATAACCACTGAACTTTCATTAAAGAGTTAAATATTCACATCTGCCAACATCATATCCTGGGAAGCCACTGGCTGAACATTGATTTTGTTGTAAGCGCTGCACTCAGTCCGGGTCGCTGTGACTTTGTGAAGGAATTCATATGAAGCAGAAAGACAGCCACAAAGCAGCATTCATTTGGAGTACAGCTCCCCAGTACCTTCTGTGAAATCTGAGACTTTTCCATCTTGTATGAATTCCTCCAGAAATGTTCGGTGCCTAGTCAAGGTGCTGCAGCTAGGGTTTCTTGTCTGCGTATGATTGGCTGGTGGCAGTATTGGTGGTGGCGGAAGCAGGAAAATCTGGGTATACCAGGAAGCCGGTAAAAGTGATGTACTTGGCGTGGTTGCTGTAGGCACCGAATCCATCTCTCTGGTGGGAGTAGAGCCAGACTGTGTCCCCTGGTTTAAGTGACAGCATCAAACTCTGGCTTTGCAGAGCTTTCTCACCTTGGCTATCGTCATAGATCATCGCTTGCACTTCCAGGCGGTTCTTCATCAGTTTGACGGACAGTGTCTTCTGTGGCATCTTGCCCACGTTGAAGGAGAAATAGTACGCCCCGGGAATGCGGCAGGTGAACACTCCCTCTGTCACGTTGAAGTCTTCCCCTATGTTAACAAATGCAGTGTCGAAGCTCACCGGCTGGTGTTGCGGCATGCCCAGTTGGTTCACGCCCACAATGCTTTGGGTGCGCCCCACCGAGAAAGCAGATCTCTGGTCATCCTCTTCGTCCTCCTCCTCCTCTTCTTCCTCTTTCATTTGCGGCTCCTTCTCCCCATCCGTCATTCCGGGTCTGACATGATCCGTGGCCTGGTTGTCGCTCGGCAGTGGGGTGTTGTCTTGCAGTGGTTGCTCGGAGTCGGCGTGCTGCTGGTGGTGATGGTGGTGCGTTTGGTAGCCGTAGACATCAGGGTACACAAGGTAACCATTGAAGGTGGTGTAGTGTCCGGTGTTGCTGTACAGCGCGTAGCGAGGGTCGCCATGGAGACGGAGCCAGACAGTGTCCCCGAACTCCAGCTGCAGCATGACACTCTGGCTCTGCACCTGAGGAATGACGCAGACTGTTATGCCGGTGTAGTCATACCGAGGCCTGTTTCACATCAACAACAAACACATGATCCTGTCACACAGCCTTTCATTGGACGGAATAATCCGCTCTGATCTGATCTCATTCCCATCCCCACACAAACACACCCTCTGTGAGTGCTACCACAACCTCTGACATCATAAAAGAGCGCTGTAAATATGGGGAGAAAAAATACACATCGAGAGAGATTGATTCAATCAATTATAAGATGTCTCTATAAAGTGCCAGAGCTTGTTTAAAGGTTATTGAAGTTCCATATTTTGGGAAATCTGGTAGCTTGATTAGATTAGAAGCTTTTGCATTTTTTAAATGTGCATGAAATGCAATGATCTGCTGGGAAACCTCCGGGTCTGACATTCATGTGCATGCCACTGGAATATACCAGAAGGTGTGCATGGCTTCACCCAGTAGGAGAGCGTGCCCTGAGGACAGCTGAGGCACATGAAACAGAGCCAGAGACCCTGACCCAGTCTTCTTGATTCTGACTGAGCACTAAAAAACACAACAGATTCATGCTGGGGGATCTTAGCCCAGGACACCTTCAGTACAGTTCTCAGTGTCAGGAATTTCATTTCACAAAGCAAAGTCCCAAAGTCCCAGTGCCTGACAGATCTGCACTCGGAGCTTCTTTAACTGTGTCCTACTGGGCCAGCTGTGTGTATAAGCACAATGTAAGGTAGATTATTATTATTTAATGTTGTGGCCAGTCAAAGTACTAACTGTGGAGCTGGAGCTCACTTCCATAAAAACTTGAAGCAGGCTCCAAAGTTAAAAAACAGTCACTTTATTATAATAAGCAGAGGTGTATTAGGGCTTGGTGCATTTCCGCTCAGTCACTGACAAGAGAGAGATACCGGCGTGTTTATTACCCACTTTGACTAGGGAATAAAAGTTTAGGTCAGTCTCATCCTCCGAGTGTAGTAATCCTAACCAGTAATACCTGCTGAACATGTAAAGCACTACTGGATTATAAGATTTGGCCGCTAGCAGCTTTCTGTACATAAAAACATAAATAAGATTGAAGCTCTGAAGCATACCTTCCTCTCCTCCCCTGCATTTTCTTCATACACAATGGCCTGCACCTCATTCCTGTTTTTCATCAGCATCACAGACAGGTCCTTATGTGGAAACTTTCCCACGGTGAAGGAAAAGTAGTAGGCTCCAGGGATACGACAGCGGAACAGACCAGACTTGGCATCAAAGTCCCCACCGATGTTGACGTAAACAGCGTCAAAGGTCACCGTCATCTTCGGTCCACCTTCCATGCTGCTGGTGCGAGCGACCGAGAAAGCTGAGCGCAGCTCTACATCATCAAGCAGACGGGCGAAACCCCACGCACTGCCCATGTGACTCAGGCACAGCAGACCAATCAACAGGCCGGCTGGGAGCAGCATCTTATCTGTAGACAGAAAGAAAGAAGGGGCACGTTTACCTCACATACAGGTTTGTAAAGTTTCAGTCACACATCTCAGAGTTTCAGTCCTGGCTGCGGTTTTTGTGACAGTCTATCATAGAAAGGTTTCCATGGATCACTTGGCAAACAGCAGTGTATAATCAATACGTGACAGGGAAGTTAGGATATGGAATTTCCCTTGCTGCCTTGTCTCACTCCATGATCATGAGTGGGATTTAATAAATAACCCTGTTGTGTTCAATCTGCTTAAACAGCACATCAGCTCCAGCTGCCTGAAGCCTTGTGTTCATTTATCTTGCTGCTTAGCGGCTGCAACATTTGTAACGGTTGTTTCATTAATTTCCGCAGCATTGTATTCGTCCCCTTCACATGATTTGATACACCAATGCTCATAGTGAACTAGCACATGGAGATAAACCAGAACCCATTTCTGTGGAGAAGAGTTGGACTAGTTTTTTTCTGTCGATGGTTTCTTAATCATCACCTTGGCAACACAGTAACGTGGTGGCTAACACCACTGCCTCACACCTGAAAGTGTTTGCCTCGTACCTGTGTGAGCTCTCTCTCCATCCCTCATTTCAGAGACACGTACTTGGTAGGATTCAGATAATTGGTGATCCTAAACTGCCCAAAGATGTGAATGTGAACGCACACACACACACACACACACACACACACACACACACACACACACACACACACACCTGTAAATGGATGGATGCTGCTTACATGCTGTCTCAGCCTTGCTTTGCCCTTGAGGCAGTCACTGACCTCCTGGATGTACCTGAGCTGCTCTCACTGAGTCAGTGTTGTCGGCACACTTGAACCAGCAGAAACGTCCTGAAATTTAGCACCAACTCAAAACATCACCTGACAAAAATGTCCATCGTAGAGAATTATGGACAATAATAAATAACTGAGCTTCAACTGTTAAGCAAGTGCCATTTACTGCATATGAAAGATGACATTGCTCCATCGAGCTGAGCTTTTTGTCCACTGCCATCTAGATTAGTTTTAAAAATCAAGCCGAATTTTTGGCCTGTCTTAGAAGCTGAGGAACACTTCACTCTCATATGGTAGCAACTCGTCTGTCACAGCACGACTGCCTGACACAAGCTCTGAATCACACCCTGTGTTTTTATCCTTTATAATTTACAAAATAAATATCATCTTGCCTTCAGTAACACTGTTACTGTAATAAGTGGACAAACCTGCAGAAGCCAAAGCATCACTTTCTTGTCGACTTCATTACAATCAGGTTTTCCTCTGCAGTCAGAGAAGCTGCCCCTTCCTGGTCATGACAGACCGTGCAGTCATTTCAGCCACATCTGTCTTTTGCACAGTGGAGGCACATATTTGTATCAACATTAGAACCGCACTGGACAAACCCGACCCCCATACAGTGGAGCAACTACACATTTGCACATCAAAAACGACAACAAAAAAGCTTTTCAATGAAAGAAAAACACGCAGTCCCAGAGCAGGGTTTGAATCACTCAAGCAGTTCGTGCTCAGTAAAGGAGGTATTATGTTCTTTATTAGCAGCGACAAGCGCTTTCATTGTCTCATTGTCCTCCCCCAGTGAACCAACAGGAAGTAGACACACACACACACACACACACACACACGCACACACACACACACACACACACACACACACACACACAGGTGGAGCTGCAGGGCTCTGAAAGCCCGTCAGAACAAAAGGACGAGGCTTAACATGTAAGGAGCAGAGACTCGGGGGAGTGGTCTCCATGTTCAGCACAGCGAATACATGTTCACCACCTTAGTTTTACATTTGGACTTATTACATATAACAACCATCCACTTACAAAACAAACAATGCAGAACGTTAGAGAATATGAAGAAAATTAGATGCAGTTGTGTCAACAATATGCTTCAGTATTTCACACAATCAGAAAAATCTGAACTCTAATTCAAATTGTGAGCAGACGGTGGAGTTTGATGACAAGTGACAGTGAGGTATCAGAAGGTTTATATAGTCATAAACCCTGTCACACACTTTCCCCCCCAAAATCAATACTTGAGTCACCTGATGCTGTTACTGGCTCTCTGTACTGTAGCTGTGAATGCTCTCATAGCGACGGTGCTGCTTTGCTCTTATGGTTCTGGTGTTATACTCCCTCCCAGGCCCTCACGTAGGTACCATTTATTTATTTTAAACACTATAGCTGATTTAAAAAAAAACAACAATAAACATGAAACTCATTAAATGAAACATTTAGAGATAAGTGGTTAATCCATACTGTCAGATTCATTTTTTACACTGTGACATATCTCAGTTATTGTTTTATTTTGCCAGTGTTGACAGATTATATGAGTGCAGATATGGAGCTGGTTAGTTTGCAGCATTGTTGTAAAGTTTCCTCTAGATTTGGCTGTGGTTTCCATGGTAACTGTTAGGTTAGGTCAAGGTCAGTTTGAACTGGAGTGACTGACGGTCCTGCTCCATGAAGAAATTGAGTGCAGTGTATCTTACAAGACAAATTAAAAGTGAGTAACATTTCCCGACCACACTGCAGGGTTCTCCCGTCTCACAGGTTATTTTTGCAAAGGAAGGCACTCTGATACTCTTGTGACTTCTGGATGCTGCTTATTTTATTAAACCAAATGTCTGCATATTTTTATATCATATTTTATGATGGATCTTTTACTGGTGACCTGACAAGGCTAATCTGCCTACCAACCCAGACGACAGCATTGCACATATGTTCACCATCACAACTGCAGAAAGCTGGCATGCTGTGGAAAATACAGATAGAAACAGAATGGAAAGATTTTATTTACAGTAGAATACAGACAGCAAATCAAATGTTTCAATTGAGAAAATGTACCATTTCAGTTAGAAAATAGGTGCTTTTGATTTTGTTGACAGCAACACATCTGAAGCTGGGCCATGTTTACGAATGTGTAGCATCCCTTCTACTGACGACAGTCCGTAAACATCTGGGAAAATCAGGGATACCGGCTGCTTTTGGGAGACGAATGTCGACTCGTTCTTTTCAGATTCTTGTCTGGATCTTCTTTGCCGTGTCTTTCATTTCATAATGCTCCAAATATTTTGTATTGGTGAACGGTCTGGGCTGCAGGCAGCTCAGTTACCCCGCCATGCTGTTGTAAAAATTGCAGTGTGCAGTTTTTGTCTTTGTCCTGCTGACATAGACAAGGCTGTATGTACCTTTAGCATTGATGCTGCCTCTCCAGATCCAGTTCCACAGGCACTAACACACCTGATTATCATCACAGATGAAGGCTGCTGAACTTGTACTGATTATAAACTGTCCATCTCCTCTTCAGTCCAGATAACGCAAAATAATAAAAAAGTGTGTGACCACAGAACAGTTTTCCACTTTGCTCCAGTCAGCTTACAGTTTGGCGCAGAGATGACAGCAGTGTTTCAGCAGTGCTCACACATGCATGATGCAGATTTGTGGGCAAACATAGACAGTGATTTCTAGAAGTGTTCCTGAGCCCATGCAGAGATTTCCATGACAGAATCCCTTTAGTACAGTTCAACCCGAGGGCCAGACTATCAGTCTTAGAGTCTCACACACTTTTGGTCACATTATATTGTACTGCATTATGTTTTAATTTACACTCTTACACAGTGTTCTTGTTCTTTTGGAAATGGTTTTATGAACTGCATGTTTTTACTTGGGTTAAATGCACAAGCTTAGACGCACAGACCAACATTCACTGTCAAACCAAACACAGTAAACACACCATTACTTTGTGCAACACTTTTGCAGTAGTGTAACAGGTTTGCATGCCTAACTGGTGAGAAAAGTGGAAACTATAAGACTTAAAACAGGTTCATACATACAGGCTGCATGTACACAGCACACACACTGACTGGGGATAACGTTTTGACTCCTTAAGCTTGTCCAGTTTTCTAACACATTAACTTTGAGGACACAAAGGTCACGTCCTCCCCAACAGAAGGGAACAGAATGAAGAGATAAGCAGTGTTATTCACTTCACATGCATGACATCATGATGTTATGGCTGATCGGTGTATATAACTTTATATGAAGCAGGAAATAGGTCCGTATATTTTGTTCTGTTGGGATTTTTATTGGCTGTTATTGATTAGAATTTGTTCTCATGACAAACCGGCATTGTGGCATCTTACCTCATCTAATGTGCAAAGTGTTGTATATTATATGGTTCTCTATAACTTGTAATCTTTGAAAGTTAATTACTGGTGAAACTAAATGTTCTTCTTGTATGGCTATACTAAATCGACCTCTTTAAATGGAAACTAATTATAGTGGTTAATTGTACTTAGGGCACCGAGGCACAACTGATCACTTCTGTGTGATTACTCGTCCCATTGCAGCAGAGAGAGAAATGCTTTCTGAGAAAGCAAATAGTGCTGCAGATATCATAATTTTCCTTTATGAATCATAACAGTCTTAAAAAAGCAGATGATGCAGTAGTTAGTCTTGTTCACATAATGGCACCTTACATTAAAAAAAAAAAAGTGTTTGTCTATGTAATGGCAGCAGTTTTAACTAGTCATGTAGATTCTCCGCAGAGAGACGCTTCAGGTTCAAACAGTAATAAAAGAACAGATCAAACAAACTTCCTCCATAATGAGCACCCATGGGAGTGAAGCACAGAGCGAAGCAACAGAACGGGATGGAGCTGAGTAAGTCCATTCAAGAATAAAGAGTACATGGTGATACTTTTTCAAAAAATGTAACTAATGAGCCTCTTTCTAGTGCCCTGCACAGTTCTATAATTAAAATGCACCTCAGGTGCATATTTCTCTTTGGCTGACTTTCTTGAAGTTTAGTGTTAACATTATTATGCGCGGAGCATTGTAATTGTGTGGTTACAATTATCTGATTGTACAAGCTTTTTTTAGTATGCATAACACAACAATATCTGTTACACACTAAGTGTGTTTGACTATGTGCTGCTCAGTGTGTGCTGCAGTGAATGTTCTTCATTTTAACCAG